AAATGCAATATCAGTACTATATAAAATAGTATGAATTATCTCTGTCACTTGATTAAATGCCTAATTGTTTTTGCAATATTTCCTATGTGGGCATGTGTGTGTGTGGATTTCAAATGATTTATGCTTACTTATACCTTTGATCTTAACGTTCTCTTTTCATATTTAGCAAATGGCAAAGACTGGGGCAGTTTGTGTTCACTCGTCAGTCCTGGCAATATTGAACGTGCAAGTTTCTCAGGCAAGCTTCCCTCAACTTTACCCTGCAGAGAGCTTCCAAGAGGTAGAAGTGCGGAGGTGGAATCTTTTGGAAGATTTCTGAGGTTGCCTTTTTCCAAATATTACTATATCCATCCAAAAATGCACAACTCGCATGTAACTGATGTTATCTGCACCAAGGCAGACGATTCCTGCAGCATATTTCTGTGACTGTCTGTCCATCTGTCTACATGTCCACCTGCAGCATAGCACCCAAATTGTGACGTCTGACATACAGAGGCTGTGCACTTCGTAGCTATTCAGCATGTATTTTAATGCACTAATTAATTTTAATTAATTTAAAGATGCTATGGAATAGAAGCTAGCAGTAATATATTCAGCCACTAGGGGCAGAACTAACAGGGAACTGCTTTGTGGCCCATGCTGTTTCGAACCTGTCTGAGAAATTAGTAGGCTGTGGGACAGAGCTCCAACCTGCCTTCCTGTTCCCACTGTGGGGCAGCAACTATTCAGGGGACTGGAGTGGACAGACCTCTCCTTTAGATAGCACCATGGCAAGCATTGTGCGTTTGGGTGCTGGCGAATGTACCTACACTGAAACGGGGCATGCACAATATGTCCCTTTGTCAGCTGTGTGAATTCGATTGAAGTCTTTGCTTTATCTAGCTAACCAGTGCAAATTCAGTTGCTTTCACTGGAAATAAAATAATTCTAAATGTCCTTAAAGTGAGCCCTTAACTATGCCAGTCTGAAGCTGTGCCTATACCTGAGGCTGGCATAGCTAATTCCCTTCCCACTGATAACATTGGGAGAAAAATGTCTGGTTTTAAAGAAGTTTTAAAAAATTGTAAGGCTCCACTTTCTGCCCTGGGTTTGGGATACATCCCCTCTTAATTCTCCCCCTAACCTAGGATTGCTCTTCCCATCAACAGAAATATGAATATGAATAAAGACAATTAGTTCTGACCAAAAAAGAAAAAAAATAGATGTACACTGGTGTTATTGCAGGCACCATCTTGAAAATTACAATCTCCTGTGGGAGAGAAAAAGTGGGATGTTTCTTCCAAAATGGCACCCATTGTTCCTTACAAATAATATTATCATCATCTGCTTCCCAATTAATGAATGAAAGACAGCTTTTTAATCAACCAAAAGTTTACATCAATTTATCCTACTAATCAACCAACAAAGGGACAATCCGATACATGTTTAGCCAGAAAAATATGACAACTCTCAGCATACATCAGCCCACCATGCTTGCTGGAGCATTCTGGGAGTCGTGTGACCTTTTCTTTCTAGCATGCGTAGGATTGTGTCCCAACAGCCCTAGTTAAGAGGCATGCTAGCATAGTTAGCTAGTGATGCAAGAGATCTCCCTCACAGGAACTTGCAATAATTGTGGGCATCCGTAATAGACTTTGGTTTGGATGCTGTACTTGCTACTACTGAGAAATGAATAATGTATAAATATACCATATTATACCTGATGAAAGAAGTTCTCAGGTTACTACATGTCCTGCAACATTTGGCATAGTCCTGGTGGCATGCTCTCTTAAAACAAACTTTCATCCATTTCTGCAAGATACATATCTACAAACAGGGCACTGGGAAGATGTGCTGATTCAAGTACAGTGCAATTAATCTCTTCTGTTACTGCTAAAGACAAGGTTAAAATAGAGACATTTCACATAAGCTGACTATACTTTAAAGGCTCACTAAAAACATGGATAAAAGCATGGTTTGAACTGGAACCAAAATAAGCAACATTACAATGAAATGTCAAAACATTTCTGTGACTAAATCCCAAAATTCTGCAGTGGAGGGAGATATGACCTCCTCCTGTTAACAGAACTACTGAACAAGGTGTTCAGAAAGGATCAACACCTTTGAATAATTTTCAGAGTTTCACATCTTCTAAGGCAGGTAGTGGCAATGAGGTTGTTTCAATCTGCCATTCATCTTTCAGTACTTACAATAAATCTTTGTTTCTGTAGCAGTTTTTAGCTGGACCTCATCTGTATGTCATTCAGTATTCATGCAGACCTTTAAACTGGAACCCAGTCAAGTATTTCTAATGCTATTCAGAACAGTGGTATTAAGGGTGCTCCTGTCCTGAGATGTAGAAGCTTTTCATTAAAAAGAAGAAGCAGGGAAAGTAAACCTTTCTCTAACTTGGTATAACTGAAAATGATTCTTCTTTCCTGTGGCCTGTAATCAAATTCACATTTTTGAGAATAATTTTCAGAGTGGTAGCCGTATAGCAAAAACAGCCAAGGGCCTTGTTGTCCCTAGCATGTGTATTATGTCAAATGCTTTTGTGAGCTACTCATTGTGAACTAGTTATGAATCATCAGATTCATTAGGTGTGATTGTGACCTACAGGTGTACGTGCACAGGATTGTGGAGGGTAAACAGTGTGTTCTGAGGGAAATTAAATGCAGGAAGTACAGACAGTGATGATGTTATTATTAACAGCAACCATTCACAAAACAGTCACTGCAGACAACACAAAGATCCTGGCATTTGGTAAGCTGAATAAATGTACTTACATTCATTACATGTGTTCATTAACTTACTGAATGCTGGAACATTTGTGCTCTTAGCAATGACCTTTTTTTGTGAATAGCCAATAATTTGTTAGTATACTTACTGCATTTCATTTTCTCCTGGAGCCCTGACCTCATTATTTATTTTCCCTGCCCAAGATAATTTGTTGAATTTGTCGAACCTTCACCTTAAATAGCAACATGAAGCACAGAAATGTAGCAGGGTTTTCCTGGCATCAAGCTAAAAGACAGAGACATCTCTACCTATTTAGAAACATATAAGCAAAGCCAGTTTTAAAAAAAGAGGCTGGTCAGTAATAATGCAATGATAACCAAGCCAAGATGCTTCCAATCTAGGTTTTTTCTGTGCAATCACCGTGCCTCATTCCTGGAATTTTACAAGAGATCCAGACATTGCCCTCTTCTATTTGTAGCCCTCCCATGTTTACCCATCACTTTTCCCATTTTTTTCTCACCCAAAGAAAACAACTGTTAAGGGAAAGAAGAGAGAATAGCTGCAGAATGCTGTTCTGCATTTGGAAGCACCTGAAATTTTTGTATAAGGGCAATAAAAGGAGCTTACTAGCTCCATCTTCCTTGCCTCTTAAATCTGGGGAAATGCTCTTGCTAGAGCTCTTTGCTGGCACAAAGCTGAACTGGCATGCAAAACTGGACTCTTTCAGGTAAGGACACAGAGGATGGACAGCCGTGTCACTCTTGTTCATTAAAGAATCCACTTGTGTAGCGGTGCTGTCATGAGAGCACTCCCTCTACTCATAGTGAAATAGCAAAGTAGCAATAGCTACAGACTTCACGACCAGCTTCCAGCACAGGTGCAAGAGTTCTCTTGTGCCACTCCTGAGCCAACTGTATGGCACATGCACTGAGCTCTTGGAATACATTTTAAGAGACATCTAGGGAGATAAGAGAAAATCACAGTGTGCATATGGAAACATACAGATAGCATCATTATGCGAACACATGTAAGGCGTGCGAACAAATTCAACATGAGTACTTTTGAAGATCTGATTTTCTCTACTGCCAATTAAAATACAAATGCTTCCCATTTTGTTTTCGGACCATGTATTTAGACTCTAGATTTTAAAATACTGACATGTGATTTATATGTAGCAGTTAATCTACCCTGTTACATAAGGACTGTTTTTACATAATGGGGGAATAATCTGAGTAGTCCCTCTTAAACATTATTCTCTTGCAGATCAGAATGGGAAGTTCCCATACACATGAGGCTCTGTAGTGTAGCAACAGATTTAAACTTAGTACACACATAGCTAAATTAAAACCCACTGATCTGAAAGGGGATTAAAGGGGCAATCCTAGCCATGGCACCCTTGCTGTTCAGAGGTCCCCGAACATGGAGACATCCAAGATTTCTATGCATTGCCTGGCTGCCACTGGAACAGGAAGAACTGAGGAGGCAAGATCCCTCTCCCCATATTCCATATTTGGTGATTTTTGCTAGCTGGGCTTTTCCAGAAAGGAGAAGGCAAGGGGGTGGGAGGAGGCTCAAGATATCTCGCAGCCTGGCCTTTCCAGACAGCTACCCTCCAGCCCTTTTCCTCCTCTGAGGTTGCCTTTCCCACCTTGAAGAGGCACCCAGCATGGTTCTCTCCACACAGGTTGAAAGAAGGTAGGACCTGGGATCAAATTTCTGAGCCCTCTTCTGATTCTGGAGTGCTGTCTCCAACCTCAAAGGGGTTATTCAGGCAAGACACTCACCAAGGAACCCTAGATTTGCTCCCTTAGTGTACATTAACTCATGGCCATGATTAATATACATTACGATCCACGAGTGTCTCATGGCACAGCTGCACAGGTTCTGTCTGGCTTTCCATTTTATTATATGAGCTATTAATCCAGTTGCCGCTTTATTCATAACTATCCATTTATAATGTTTCTACCAATTATTCAAAGTCAAAATAAAATGAAGACCATCTGGAGGAGTGCAGGTCCCTCCACTCCGGGGCTGGACCCTTGGGTGCTACGCAGACAAAGGTCTGAGTAGGTATAAGGCAACTTTATGTCCTGTTCTCACCTGCCCTTGCCGTAGTGGCTGACTGATGCTCTGCTAGGTAAGCACTTGCTTTATCCCTTTTTGAAAGTCACCGGGAAAATGGAAAACAAAAAGTGGTATGTCAATTTTTTGTATTCTATTAAGACAACTTCTTTAAACAAACAAATAATATTTTATCAGATGGGAAAAGAAAACAAAATAAGTAGAGAAGGAAGTTTTATTTTCAGCATGGAGGACAGCATTGTAAACAACAAGGACCTTTCAAAACTATGTACAGCAACTGCAGGTTCACAATTTTTCCTTTTAAAAAACTTGGGTAACTAAATATTTACAGAGAAGTATATAGGAGGTGCCTTGGAAGTAAATTTTATATGAACACAAAATACAAATTAATACAGTATGCAGTTTTTCAATATGGATATGCATTTTGTATCTAACAGGAACTTTAAAAAAACTGGCAGCAAAATTATAGTCTGGAAATTTCCAAGCGAAATTAATTAATTGAACTTTCTACAGATCTAAGTCTTCTCCCACTGACTCCAGTAAGTGTCCTGCATTGATTTTAGGGGGCTGTAGCTGTTCAGATCTGACTGGACCCAGGAGGCAGATTAGTGATGCTTTTTCTGAGCTAGATTCAACACTGCCCTACTACGCAGCATCCCTGAGAGAGCAACTGGGTGCGCATCATTTGCAGCGCCACTGCTGTGCTGCTTTAATGTATTTCGCTGTGGCTTCACTTCCCTTGAAGCAAGCCCAGTGGAAATGTATGGTGACTGTGCAGCAACAAAGCTGAGAGGATTGCTCCCAGAATTGCATGAGAATTTTACGTTTAAATGATCCTGCATTGTCTTGAATCAGCATTACTCAAACCCAAATCACTTCTCAGACTAGGCATTCCTAAGCACACTTGCCATGGAGTAAGTCCCACTGTAAGACCCTCTTCCCAATGAGCAAGCGTGCAATCTCATTGCAGGGTATTCTTCCAAGGCATTGCCATCTACTCATACAGAGGACTTTTAACATCATATGGTGAGCATATGTACATAGAAATTTGGATCAGAACAGGATAGTTAAGCAACTTTTCCCAGAAACAATTGTGTATCCATTGGAATCAGGAGTATTGCTCATCCAATCTTCCCAGCAAAACCCTACCTTAGGTAAGCTCTCACAGAATGACTTTCTGAAAGTCATCATGTAAGCACCAATTGTCAGTTCGTCACACATTGGTCCTAAGAAATTACAGTAGAGAAAATAACGATGACCTTAGCTAGATCTCACTGTATAACTCTATTACTTCTGGAAAAAGAAGTTGCCAATATTTGTAACGTTCCCATCTGTTGCTAAACATTCTTTTAAATACTTTTTAGCACGGTTTAGAGATTCATGGTTATCCCCATGTATTGTCTCAAATACTCGTTCTGGGTTTCTTACACTTTTTTTTTTAATTCTTTTGGCAAGCAGCTCTTAGCATCACCATGAATTATCTACTTAAAAATACAACTTTGCAGACACCAGAATATTTCTTCCTTTTAAAAACACCTCAATTCAGCGGCATTGGTATGTTGGTAATGCCTAAACCTTCTGTTAGTCTAATGGTCCAGGGAAGACTGTACTTGTAGTCCTTCTTACAACTATTTATCAAAATATTTTGTTCAGGGTTTCTTTGCCTAATATAATACATCCAAGTGGAAAACATTAGCAGACATTCAGGAAAATAAGCTAGAACAACTTTTAACTTACCACATCCACTTTGGAAAAAAAACAACAACCAGCAAGTGTACAAATGGCATCTTTCAAGAGAGAGCAGAATTTTGTCTTTATTTTCATAACTTAAAAAAGGTTTCTCCTGAAAGTAAATAGGAAGTCTTTATGTTACAGTAAGTGCTTTTGAAAAAGTCCCCCTTCACAAAAACGTCTTTTAGATTTTTGAAGTAAAATGCATTTTAAACAAAAATATTGTGCAACATCAGCACTACTTTTCTCTCTTAAATATTGAAATAAATAAAATAACTTGTTATGTTTTTTAAGTTTTCCTTTTTTGTTGTTTGTTTGTTGCTTTCAGTCATTTCTACTGTCAACCACTTCCAGTTTGACCTGGGCTTTTACACACACACACACACACACACACACACACACACACAAAATACTTTAAAGAAAAGTTATTTCTTTAAAAAAGGGGGGAGGGGTAAAGGTTTTCTTTGTATTGCACAAGCTTAGGGAAACCCCAAGACTTCTCTGAGCAAGTGCCAGCAGGCATTCCACAGTCCAGGCTCCTGTGTGGGATGAGACACAGGCGTAAAAGGATCACGCAATGAGAGGAGGATCAGCGCATCCTGGCTACGCTTAGTTGACTTCTTCAACAGTTTTCTTGAAGGATTCAGAATCCAAGTGAGTGCAGGAACATTATCTGCAGAAGGAAAGGTAAAGAAAGAGGAAACTAAAAAAGCAACCCTCAAATAACAATAAGCAGTATTATTTTCACCAAAGCAGCAAGATATGTGTGAGAAAGAATGGCTTTTCATCAGCTGAACAGAAAGTCCCGTTGTCCATGCTTAGGATGAGCTAAAGTTCACCAAGTGTTTATCTAGCACTTGCTTTGCAATTGTTCCATCTTAGAACTCTAGGGTAGTCAAGGTGCGTCAATCTATGCCCAATGCGTGTCCGCCATCACCAAATAAGCACACACCTAACATTAAGGGGCAGGACTTCCAAAGGAGATTGATGTATCTTTCCAGCAAGATGCATCCCTTCTTATAAACGAGCAACTGCACACCATTGTCCTTTGCTTTTCACCTCTAACTGCTGTTTCTTTCAAATGTACAACAAACCGTGAGTTATGAGATGCCAAACAGCGTATGATTTCAATAGCAGCAACTTATTTTACAAAAGACAGTTTTCAATGTTTGAAGTGAGTACAATGGGCATGCAGAGGAAGGAAATAGATTGTAGCAGCCCAACCCTACACAGTATCCACTTTGGACTGACCTTATGCCCATGTGCTAATACATGTAAGGTCCATGCAGACAGCAAAGTGAATGCACTTCGGTTGAGGATGAGACCTGCAAACCTCAGTCACCTCCCCCTTCTGCATGTTCAGTGTATGTTCTCCTGAATTCAGTGCACAACCTGGGCTGACAAAACTCCTATACCTTAGACAGCTTCTTCAAAGCGCAAATTTCCACAAAGCACATCTTGATACATCACAGTGCTGCTGGGATGAGAACTCTTCTTGCTGAAATTTCAGCTTCTGCCCAGCCACTTAAAATGGTACAAGAGTCCTGCACTCTATTGCATCAAGTCATCCTACTAGAAGCGCAGATGAAAGCCAGGACTGTACCTTCGATACAACAAAGAACAGTGAGGCTCTAGTTCAGGATAAGATAGTTTCCAGCTAAGCAAGACTGTGTGACAACAAATCTAAGAACTCCAAGCCATATATGGCAACAATAGCTGTCTGACTGAATGCTGGAACCAAATGAAAAACTTGCAGTTTATTCTTTGCCTAAACCATCTGATACAGGAATAAGTCAACACACCAATGCCTCAGCCGATGAGCTGCTAATAACAGTTACAGTGACAACCTTTCCCAAAAGTATCCCACCACCATCCCGTGCAAGCACACACATCACTCTTTCTCTTCAGAATTTCTAGAAGTGGCACATTAAATCCTAAAGCCAAGAAAAGAATGGATGTTTGTATTGACTGTGTTCAGACAACACAGTAACACCCCCTCACAGACACACACACATGGTATGGAAGGGTTTTCATTGAACCATGCAGTGTTGTTAAAATGTGGATTATCATGTTGTTTGAACCCAACCAAGATAACAAACCATGGTGGACAACCCACAGCTCACAATCCAACAACAAACCATGCATTCTTTTCATGGGTTCTTTGTGGTTAATAAGCCATGCCATGTTAGGGCAGCTGAGTTCAAATAATACAAAAAGCCATGTTACAACAACAGCCCTCACATAGATGAAATGTTTTGCATCTCTCCTTAAAAAGTATCTGGAAGGACAGGGAAAATATCCTTCATTTTACACCTCCTCTTCAACCCAGGAGGTTCAGCCAGTAGAAAACAGCATGATCCTCCATCCTCCCTGTTTGATGGCTCAGCAGGAAACTGCCTGCCCTTCAGTGTACAGAACCAGATTTTGGCTGTAAGAAACACTGCTATTTGAATAGCAAACATTTTAGGATTTTTGTTAACTGGGAAAAGTGCCATCTTGTCCTTTGCCTTAGGCAACAAAACTTCTTGGGCTGGCCCTGAGGGGTTTTTTTAAAAGCAACTTCTCATGTCTGTGCCTCTTTAATAAACAAATCTTAACTGGTGCTGTTGGAAGTACCTGTTGCAGTATCACTCAGAGTCCATCTTACCCAAGTGCCTAGACAACTGTTCACAGTGTAAAGCAAATGACAAATGCACTAGAAGTATTTCTATCTCTTGGACCTGACACTGCATTTCCTCTCCTGTTCAGGCCTACGGGAAAGTGTTGACAGGGGCTCCCATGTAAATAACATACAGGATGCAAGAGAGAGGAGTGTGTACTTGGGTCATAACAATCCTCCCCCCCCCCCCGTGTGTGTGCGTGCGTGCGTGTGTTTTAACTAATAATTTTCAGGGTAACCCTGAATCTGCTGGTGTCTCCCTCTTGGCTACAGCTTCATGACACTTATGAATTAGATTTGCTTAAAGGTTGCCCATTAGCATCACACTCTCTGGGTGGCCATTACAATTAAATTACCAGGAGGAAACATAAATAAAATAATGCAATTAAAATGCACAAGATAAAATAACATATAAATAATTGTTGACAATAAAACTTAAGTTACTAGATTAAGACTGGTGCAAATTGATGTAAAAATAATCTAAGCGGTGCCATAAGTGTGCCAGAAAAGGAACATTTTTGTCAGGTGCCTAAAACTAAGCAGAGTAGATGCCTGACAAATCTCTGATGGTAATGCATTCCATACTTGGGGTGCCACCACAGAAAAAGCCCTCCTCCTTGCAACCTCCACCTTAAACTCCTTAAAGGGTGGAACTCATAGGAGGGCCTCCACTGATGACCTTAAATGATGAGCAGTCCCTAAGATAATGTGGTCCCGAGCCATTTAGGGCTTTATATGTCATAGTCAAGACCTTGAATTCAGCCTGAATTGGAACAGGTAGCCAGTGCAGCTGATGAAGGAGGGGTGTAATATGTTCATAAGAACTAGTTTTTGTCAGCAACCACACTGCCCTGTTCTGGATCATTTGAAGAGTCCACACCCTTTTCAAAGGAAGCCCCAAATATAGCACATAGCAGTAGCTCAATCTGGAGGTTACCAGTGCATGAATGACGGTGACAAGATGACTCTCATCCAAGTAGGACCATGGTTGGTAAATCAGTTCAAACTGGTAAAAGGTGCTACTAGCAACCGAGTCCACTTGGGCACCCAGGGAATGCTCAGGGTCCAGGAGCACCCCCAGACTAAGAACCACGTCTTTTAGAGGGAGTGCCATCCTGTCCAGGATGGGTTTACAGTCTCCCAGTGGAAATGGAGGTTTGCTCGCCAACGGTACTTCCATCATATCAGGATTGAGCTTGAGTTTATTGGCCCTCATCCAATGCATTATTGAGTCCAGGCACCGATTAAGGGTAGAGACTGCCACACCTGGGTCAGATGAGAAAGAGATGTAGAGCTGAGTCTCATCAGCATATTGGTCACACTTCAGCCCAAACCTCCTGATGACCTCTTCCAGCAGTTTCATGTAGGTGTTAAAAAGAATGGGGGATAAACTCAAACCCTGTGGTATTTATTCCATGCTGTATGAGTGATGGCACAGGGTGATAATTCCTCCAGCACCACCATATGGAGGCAGTCAGCCAGGTAGGAACAGAGTCAGCTCAATGTGCTACCTCCTACTCCCAATCCAGCTAACTGCTCCAGAAGGATCCCATGGTCAATGGTATCGAAAGCTTCTGAGAGGTCCGGGAGAATCAAGAGCAGACCTGGGCACTGTATGGCCCACGGGCCACATCCGGCCCGATGGCTGACCCTGACTGGCCCGCATGAGGTCACTGGCAAATTAAAAGTCAATGCAAATATATATTGTTGTAATATAGATTCAAGCAATACAACTGCACTGCTTTTATTTTGAAGGATCTGCTAAATTGAATTGAATTTATTGCTTTTCATGTAATGTTAATGTTAATGTTTTTGTGAATATTCATTAAATAGTGTTGTTCTGTGCTCCACATTTTCATTGTATCATTGTAATGTTTCATTTACTGTTTTTATAGAGATATATATTAAGCAGAGCTGTAAGTGTATTGGTCCGGCCCTTAACAACTGTCAAAGTTTCTCATGCGGCTCCATAGGAAAATTAATTGCCCACCCCTGATCAGGAGGATCGCATTCTCCCTATCTCTTTCCCAACAAAGGTAATCCCACATGGAGACCAAGGCAGTCTAAGTTCCAAAGCCAGGCCTGAAACCCAATTGAAATGGATCGAGATAATCAGTTCAAGGAAATTTAAATCAAAAATGGGGGGGGGGGTGATGATGATGATGATGATGCCTATGGAAGGAGGGCACTGGACTATGATAGCAACACATAATCATCCAGGGAAGTTTAGTTTCTCAGACTATGGATCCATTTTTACCCACTATCTAGCATTGAATTTAATGGGCTCGGTCTGTGCTGGATTGAGGCCTCTGTGTCTATCTTTTCAGATAGAAGTTTTTTGAATGACAGCTGAGATTCTAGGGTTTCTACACCAACTGTCATGCACTATATTACATGTAAATGTTATAAATGATATAAGGATAGGAAACCATCCTAGGTTTCATGCCCAAAGTCAGTGGCACCTGGATAAAAGATCAGGAAACAATCTTCTCCCTCTGGTGACCACTCCTCTGCCACATTAAATCACAAGCTATAACAAAGTGCAATCTGCTGCCCAGAATTCCCGAAAACTTTTTACCATACATTCTTCCTTTAAAGCATAGCTCTTTAATACAATGGCAAGAGAGCACTGAAAGACAAATCCTCTCATTAAATGGAGGAAAGGCTCTATCTAAAACAAGATTTTGATAAATTCATAAACACTGACAAGAAGTGGCCAATTTATCTATATGATAAAATAGCATTTATCATATAGATTTGCTGTAACCATTAATTCATTGAAGAGCAGAGCATCCAGAGCACAAATACAGTAATGAGCAAAATTCCTAGAGAACTATACCTAGGGCTAATTCAAATTTTGGACTGCACATTTTGTTTTTGTCCCTGCCTTTCATGCTGATGAAAAGAATTTGCCAGTTTAGAATATGACAGCAGGCATGGAAAGAATTTATCACAGATGGTGTCCCTTCCACAGGCTGTGCTTATCAGCTATCTGATCTGCTCCAGGCATTAGG